AAAAAGTTCCCTTGGAGGGCTTTTGGTTTTTCATAGCTTTGGAATACTTTGCATGGAGCACTTGATTGCTGAGGATGAGACCAGTCATAATTTTTAAGTTTGGTTCTTTCACATAAGCTGTCCTTAGTAGACCATGGGCCTGAAAGTACCTTACTGCTTGATTGCCGCTTATTAAGCCAAAATCATTTTTTTCATAGGTCTAATACTGGATCCAATAATCTATACACTATATGGCTCAATTACTAACTTCCAGTGGGAAAAACTGCCCTTGAAGTCCTTTATCCTTGACAGAAAATAGCAGGGTGTATTTGGATATCCATTTTATGTGAGCATTTATGTATCAGTTAAATTGCATCCTAAATTATTATTACTTCTCTCAGAGAATGATGCTTTATTTCCAGAAATGCTCCATTTAACCACATACTCAAATTTAATATATTTTCATTATATACTTTATCACTTGACTCTGTTTTCCATCTTATGTAATTGCTGGTTACAGAGGAGCTGTCTGGGGTGGGGCGGGGGGAGGAGCAGCTTGGGGGTGGAGGAGGCGGGTGGGCGTCCAGTGTGGGAGGAAGGAGACTGCATGGGAGAAGAAAGAATGCAGACCAAATGGCGAATTACCATGTCGTGACCATTGGAGAGACTAAGGCAGTGAGGCAAAGACACCAGCGGGCAGATATATGGGGTGTGTAATAAATATCCAGGGTGCAAAATAAAAAGTCCTCCATAAAGAGGCTGAATTACAGCATGTCCACTTTCCCAGAACACACCTTTTTATTTTGGCCCAACAATAAATAGGCGGTAAATGCCAATAGGAACTTTTGCTGTGGGGATATATCATAGACCTCACAAAGCTTTCCAGATCACATAGACTGAAAGCAGATAAACTGTGTGACATAAAAGTGATAGACTTTTGCACTTGGTTTATTTTGCTGCTGCAATACACACTGTGGCTATAGAATATAGTCTAATTACACTATGCAAATCAGACCCAAATATACAGGCTAGCCCAGACAGGAAACATTGAGAGAATTTTTTCACCACCTATCAACATATGGAATTTTACAGCAAAAATGGAGAAAGACAAAATTCATCTACCTGATGAACAGAGGCAAGAAAGACTAAAAATGAAGTCTCCACTATAATTTGTCTATTTGCTTGGGGATGGAAATAAAGTGACAAAGTGTTAGTTGTTCAGTTATGTCTGATTCTTTGAGACCTCATGGACTGTAGCCCACCAAGCTCCTCAGCCCATGGGATTCTCCAGGCCAGAATACTGGAGTGGTTAGCCTTTCCCTTCAGGGGATCTTCCCAAACCAGGGATCGAACCCAGGTCTCCTACTCTGAAAGCAGATTCCTTACAGTCTGAGCCATCAGGGATGGAAAAAGTGGCAAAATTCTTTAAAGCAATTAACCTTCAATAAAAAATAAATTAATTAAAAAAAATTTTTGTTGTTCAGTTGCTCAGTCATGTCCGACTCTGTGACCCCACTGCAGCATGCCAGGCTTCCCTTCACCAACACTTATTATATGCCAGTTCTTTTAAAAAAATTTTAAGATTTTTTTATGGACCATTTTAAAAGTCTTTATTGAATTTATTACAATATTGCTTCTATTCATGTTTTGGTGTTTTGGCCATGAGCATGTGGTCTCTTAGCTATCCAACCAGGGATAGAATCCACACCCCCTGCATTGGAAGGTGAAGTCTCAACCACTGGACTCCAGGGAAGGCCCTTTGCCAGATTCTTTTTAAAGTGCTTGGGACAGATTAGAAAACAAAACAAAGATCCCTATTTTTATGGTGCTCAGTGCTATTAGAAGGACACAGCTAATGCTGCTAATGGTAAAAAATCTGCCTGCCCATGCAGGTGATATAAGAGACACAGGTTCGATCCCTGGGGCAGGAGGATCCCCTGGGGAAGGAAATGGCAACATACTCCAGTATTCTGGCCTGGAAAATTCCAAGGACAGAGGAGCCTGGTGGGCTACAGTCCATGGGTCACAAAGAGTTGGACATGACTGAGTGAACACACACAACACACACAGCCAATAAAGAAGAAACTCAATAAATAATTGAGTAAATAAAACAGAGTGTTAGAAGGTGCCACTTGGTAAATGGAAGAAATAAAGTGATGGGGAGCAGACCAGGAAGGTGGGAGTGGGTGTGATGGCTGATCACAGTATTAAATAGGTCCCAGGAGGCCTCCTTGAGAAGGTGGCATTTGAGAAAGGCTTCAAGGAGTTGCCTGGTGGCTCAGATGGCAAAGAATCTGTTTGTAATGCAAGAAACCCAGGTTTGATCCCTGGGTCAGGAAAATCCCCTGGAGGAGGGAATGGCAACCCACTCCAGTACCCTTGCCTGGAGAATTCCAAGGACAGAGGAGCTTGGCAGGCTGTAGTCCATGGAGTTGCAAAGAGTCGGACATGACTGAGTGACTAACACTTTCAAGGAGTTAAGAGGTGAGCCATGCAGATAACTAGGGGAAGGCCATCTCAGGCAGAGGCTGTGAGGTGCCCCTGCCTCACTTGGTCAGGGAATGGCACAGAGCCCATGGAGCTGTGGCCCAGGGAGTCATGGCCAGGGGCGCTGCGGGTGAGAGAGCATGGGGCCGGGGCCCCATTTCCCTTCTTCCTTTATGAAAAAGTCACTGCACACAGTGGGTTCTGGAAAAGCAGGCTGCATGCTGATAACCAGGCAGAGCGCAGCTGGGACTTGGGTGAGGCAGATGAGGTGCCTAAGTGCAAAACTTAAAAGAGATGTTCAATTTCAGGTGCCACCTCTGCATTTACACACCAGTGAGAACAGACACCTCCATAAGTTTTGCATGTAAGACACTTCACTCACCTCCCTCTAGTCCTAATCCTGATGCAGAGAATTCCTGCTTTGTTTCTACAAACAGGCTGGCCTCACCCACCACCACCACCAGACACTCTCTCACATCTCTGACAGAATTATCTATCCTGCAAACACACAATGGCAGGAAGCAGAGCTGTGCCAACCAACTGCCAGGATGACGAGTTTCCTGCTTTTTTTTGGCTGCACCTCACCCTCAACTGCAGTAGGCAGAGAGAGGAAGCAGAATTCTGAGCCAGATTTGGTTTTTTAGTCTCTAAATCTGTCAACAAGTGTGTGCATGTGGTTGAAAAGTGCTTCTGGAGCCCAGGAATAGATGCTCACCAGGCCGTGACTCTGGGATCACAAACGTGATTGAAGGACCACTTGTAAGGTCGAGTGAACAGGGAAAGTCATTCTAAGCTGACTTGATGGCTGAGGCAAGAAGCAGGAGCTTCCCATGAAATAAATATGCCTTAGAATGTGCTTGGTGTTTATATCCCCCCTATAGTCCCCCTTACTCCTAAAGGAACTCTAACAACCTTGAGGATTATAAATGTTTAAGAAGATACAGTTGCTCCTCATATGGACTCATGAGGAGATGGGGGGGCAGGGCTGTGAGTGGCCCTCCTGGCAGTGGATATGTGCATAAAAGATGCTTACTCCTTGGAAGAAAGTTATGACCAACCTAGATAGCATATTAAAAAGCAGAGACATTACTTTGCCAACAAAGGTCCATCTGGTCAAGGCTATGGTTTTTCCAGTGGTCATATATGGATGTGAGAGTTGGACTGTGAAGAAAGCTGAGCGCCGAAGAATTGATGCTTTTGAACTGTGGTGTTGGAGAAGACTCTTGAGAGTCCCTTGGATTGCAAGGAGATCCAACCAGTCCATCCTAAAGGAGATCAGTCCTGGGTGTTCATTGGAAGGACTGATGCTGAAGCTGAAACTCCAATACTTTGGCCACCTCATGTGAAGAGTTGACTCATTGGAAAAGACCTTGATGCTGGGAGGGATTGGGGGCAGGAGGAGAAGGGGACGACAGAGGATGAGATGGCTGGATAGCATCACCGACTCGATGCACATGAGTTTGAGTAAACTCCGGGAGTTGGTGATGGACAGGGAGGCCTGGCGTGCTGCGATTCATGGGGTCGCAAAGAGTTGGACACCACTGAGCGACTGAACTGACCTGAACTGAACTGAACCTAAGTTTCAGAATACTTTGGCCAGCTGATGTGAAGAACTGACTCATTGAAAAAGACCCTGATGATGGGAAAGATTGAAGGCAGGAGAAGGGGACGACAGAGGATGAGATAGTTGGATGGCATCATCAACTAAATGGACATGAGTTTAAACAAGCTCCAGGAGTTGGTGATGCACAGGGAAGCTTGGCGTGCTGCAGTCCATGGGGTTGCAAAGAATCGGACACAACTGAGCAACTGAACTGAACTGAAGCTTCAAAAATCATGAAAAGTCAATTTCACAACATAGTAAATACATTTTAAGGTGTAAATATTCCTTCTGAACATTTTTTTTTTTTTTGCTGTCAAGTAAAATATCAAGAAATTCATTTGTCTAAACTGAATCCTGGTTGTCCCTTGAAAATCTTGGTTCTTTTTGCTGCCCTCTCAAATGATAGATGTTCATTTTATCACTGTTTCAGGGCTAAAAGCTGGGTATTGGAAATTTTTTGCTCCCAATGCTACTCCTGTGGAGAAGGAAATGGCAACCCACTCCAGTATTCTTGCCTGGAGAATCCCATGGACAGAGAAGCCTAGTGGGCTATAGTCCATGGGGTTCCAAAGAGTCAGACATAGTTGAAGTGACTTACCACAGCACATTCTTTATATATGTTGTATTTCACAATGATGAAATACAATTTAAAAAACAAAGAATGTGCTAAATAGGCAAATAAATTGATATTTCTTTTTGTAAGACAGCTTCCTTAGATGCTGGTGATCAGTTCACCTGATGCCAATCACTATGTAAAAACTGCTAAGTTTTTAGCCTCAGAAATGGCAAATATGATTACTTTAAATTATTTAAAATAAACCTATGGACGTAACTGTGACCCTTATACTGCTAAACCTGCTAAAGCAGGTTTTACCCAAAAAGGGGTCAGGTCTCACTAGCTTCTTCTCTTAGTAATATTCATTCACTCTACCTTGAAGGATATTTCTGTGGTCATGGTGAACCCATGGGTGATGACTGGCTCCTCTTCTGCAGTTCGTCCCTTCCAGCAGTCCAGCTCCACACAGCGACAGCCAGACAGGAGCACTTGGCGATACATCTCAACAGAGGAATTTCCAGCCAGCTGGCCAGCTGTAAAATGTCAACAAAATGAACCTCAGACTCTCACAAAGTGAGGAACACACTGATGGTCTCCTAGAAGAGATCTTCAACAATGGGAAAACAAAGAGTTCAAGACCTTGAGTAGTTCTCAGCCTTTCTTCTGTCTTAACATACCAGAAGGTAGTAACATAACCCCAAATGGAAATATGGCCCCCTAGCAGTGGTTTGGAGAAGAGAGACTAGAAGGATATGTAACAATAACAGCAACTCATGTTTATTAACTGTTAACCATGTGCCAGTTATAATTCTTTGAACTTTATATACTATATATAATTCAATTCATATTCATATATATAATTCAATTCATTGAATCTTCACAAAAATCTGCCTAGTGTAACTCTGTTTGTTATTAAATGCCTATTTTCAGATAATAAAAACGGCATAGAACATTTTATTTGTCCAAGTTCCTAAAGCTGGTAAGTGGAAGATCAGGATTATAACTTCAAAACTCATTCTTGTCATTCTGACCCTCTCTATGAAGAAGTATTGTTAACAGGCTATTGTATTATACAAGTCAAACCTTCTGTCATTTTTGTCCAAGGCACAAACACTTAGCATAGCTAAACATTATCTTTGCAAAATGGAAATAACTTTGTAGAAATAAACTTAAATTTGGCGAATGAAGTGTAAAATTTGTACTCTAATAATTATGAGACTGTTTAAGAAAATTAAACAAGATCTAGTTAAATGGAAAGACATCCCATGTTCATGGAGCAGAAGACTTAAAATTGTTACGGTGGCACTACTTCTCAAGTTGATTTACAAATTCAACTCCCATAAAAATCATATCTGTCTTTTTTGTACAAATTGATCCCAAAATTCATATGGAAATTTAAAGGACCCAGAATAGCAAAAATGATTGTGAAAAATAAGAACAAAGTTGGAAGACTTCCCAGCTTCAAACTTAACAACCAACTCCAGTGATCAAGGCAGAGTGGTGCTGGCATAAGATTAGACACATAGGTCAATGGAATAAAATTGAGACTCCAGAGATAAGCCCTCACAATTATGTTAAACTGACATCTAGGTTTCTAAAACAATTCACTGCAGAAAATCATCTTTTTAAGTAATGGTGCTAGGACAGCTGAATTGCCATATGGAAAATAGTGAAGCTGGATTCCTATTACATCATATACAGAACACACACACACACACACACACACACACACACACACACACACAATCAATCAATCAGGCTCCTAACTGTATGGGCTAAAATTATAACACTCTAAACAGAGACTGTAGAGGTAAATTATTGTGACTTAGATTAGGCAATTGTTTCATAGATATGACACCAAAAGTACAATAACAAAGAAAGAAAATAGACAAAATTTACCAAAATTAAAAACCCTTGGGAGCAGAACTGAAATTCTCTAGTAAAATGATATGAATTGTAGTCAACAAGCACTTGAGAAATCTGTGGGCAGGAGTAGAAGCCAAACTATTTCTGTTTCACTTAAGAAGTCAATGGCAGGTTGTAATTTCTTGATAAATTATTTATGTGTTTATGGTTGCACCTTGCAGATTGCAGGATCTTGGTTCCCTGACCAGGCCTTGAACTCAGTTCATGGCAGTTACAGCTCCAAGTCCTGACCACTAGATTGCCAGGAAATTTCCTTGATAATTTTTTTTTAAAGATTAATAATAAGTTTTGAAACAAGCCCACTACCATCAACACACAAATGGAAGTTTTTGGCTTTCCACATTAAAGATTTTCTGTGAGCTATATTCTGTAAACCTCCATTTTTTCAGCAGTCATTTAAAACTGATATATCAATGAAGACTGTCAAAATGATTTTGAAATGGACAAGATCTGCTCAGTGGAGACACACAGGACACAGAAAATTGGATTAAACCTATTGGCTTAATTTTAGTTTTATATGCATCTCACAGAATCCAGTATCAGCATAGCAACAGGGTGACATTTTTTGGTTCTCTAGAGCCCTAGTAAATGCATGGAAAGGCTGATTAAGTACGTTTGCAAATTCACTTTTCTTTACTGGAAAAAATAGGGCATTTTAAATACACAAATATTTACAAAAGCAGAAATGCTGCCAAATAAGCTAGAAAGTTTCTGATGCTAGATAATTAATTTGCCATTTATAATAACCTCAAAGTTTGTTGTAATAAAAGTCTTTTCTGCATAAATGAAAAAGGGAGAGTGGGAGTGAAGGAGAAATGATGGTCATTTATATGTTATTCTTAAGGGAGGGTTACTTTAGCTAAGGAAATTTATGACCAACCTAGACAGCATATTAAAAAGCAGAGACATTACTTTGCCAACAAAGGTCTGTCTGGTCAAGGCTACGGTTTTTCCAGTGGTCATGTATGGATGTGAGAGTTGGACTGTGAAGAAAGCTGAGCACCAAAAAATTGATGTTTTTGAATTATGGTGTTGGAAAAGACTCTTGAGAGTCCCTTGGACTGCAAGGAGATCCAACCAGTCCATCCTAAAGGAGATCAGTTCTGGGTGTTCATTGGAAGGACTGATGCTGAAGCTGAAGCTCCAGTACTTTGGCCACCTCATGCAAAGAACTGACTCATTGGAAAAGACCCTGATGCTGGGAGGGATTGGGGGCAGGAGGAGAAGGGGATGACAGAGGATGAGATGGCTGGATGGCATCACCGACTCGATGGGCATGGGTTTGGGTAGACTCTGGGAGTTGGTGATGGACAGAGAGGCCTGGCGTGTTGCAATTCATGGGGTCGCAAAGAGTCGGACACGACTGAGCGACTGAACTGAACTGAACAGAACTTTAGCTAAAGAAGCAAAGAATTCAAATAATTAATCAGGTTAACTCATTAAAAATGCTAGCCCCTGCAGACAATTGCACAGCTATTCAAGAGTAGAGCAGATTTTCTTGTGTACTACCTAGGATATTAAGTATATTACTGACTATATCCAATACTGCTAGATAATGTGCAATTTCATTAATATTTTGTTAAGTGTTACTAACTTCAGTAAGGAAGTTGTTGGTAGGAAACAACCTTTAGAAGAATAACATAGCCCAAGGACATGACATAAACTGATTAGAAGCAGTAAACATCCAAGATGGTAAACAAGTCCACTTCCACTCTACCTCAAACCTCAGCGTACACTCATTGTAACACATCAAGTTAAATGACACATCCACAGGCACCATGACAGCTCCAAGTAGTTGTTCAGTCACTCAGTCATGTCCAACTACTTGTGACCCCATGGACTGCAGCACACCAGGTTTCTTTGTCCTTCACCATCTCCCAGAGTTTGCTCAAACTCATATCCTTTGAGTTGGTGATGCCATCTAACCATCTTGTCCTCTGTGGTCGCCTTCTCATCCAGTCTTCCATCTTTCCCAGCATCAGTGTTTTTTCCAATGAGTCAGCTCCTTATATCAGGTGGTCAAAGTATTGGAGTTTCAGCATGAGTCCTTCCAATGAATATCCAAGATTGATTTACTTTAGGATCTCCTTGCAGTCCAAGGGACTCTCAAGAGTCTTCTCCAACACCATAGTTCAAAAGCATCAATTCTTTGGCATTCAGCCTTATTTATGGTCCAACTCTCACATTCATACGTGACTACTTGAAAAATCATAGCTTGAACTATACAGACCTTTGTTGGAAAAGTTATGTCTCTGCTTTATTTATTCATTTATTTTTGACTGTGTGGGTCTTCGATGCTGTATGTTGGCTTTCCTTAGTTGTGGTGAGGGGGACTACTCTCTGGTTGTGATGCACAGCCTTCACATTGGTTGTCTTGTTGCTGAGCATGGGCTCTAGAGAATGAGTTTGGTAGTTGGGGCTTGGTTGCTCCATGGCATGTGGGATCCTCCTGGACCAAGGATCAAACCCATGTCCCCTGCATTGGCAGGCCAATTCTTAACCACTGGACCACCAGGGAAGTCCATGTGTCTAGGTTTGTCATAGCTTTTCTTTCAAGGAGCAAGTGTCTTTTCATTTCATGGCTGCAGTAACCATCCACAGTAATTTTGGAGCCAAAGAAAATAAAGTCTCTCACTGTTTCCATTGTTTCCCCGTCCATTTGCCATGAAGTTATGGGACCAGATGCCATGATCTTCTTTTTTTGAATGTTGAGTTTTAAGCCAGGTTTTTCATTCTCTTCTTTCCCTTTCATTAAGTGGCTCTTTAGTTCCTTTTCCCTTTCTGCCATAGGCATGTTGTCATCTGCATATTTGATGTTGTTGATATTTCTCTCCACAATCTTGATTCCAGCTTGTGCTTCACCCAGCCTGGCATTTTGCATGATATAATCCAAGGCCAACCATCAAAGACAAAAAATTGGGCAGTGGCCCAATTTCTGGAAATCTCTGCCCTTTCTCCCAAATAGTTGGAATAATCTTACCACTCATTTGCCCATGAAATTACCCAGCCCACAAAAATTAACCATACTACATTTTAGGGCTTCTGAGATGGTCTACACTCTGTCTGTGGAGTGTAATTCTCTCTAAATAAGTCCACTTCTTACCTATCACTTTTTCTCTCACTGAATACTTTCTACAGTGAGACATCAAGAACTAGAACTTCATTAAGTCTTGAGACCAGGTGTGTGATCTCAGTTAAAAGACTGTGGGTTCAAATTCTAATCTGAGTTGCATGGTTTTACACTGAAGGTATATATTAATTAACCCACAGCAGATTGTTTGTAATAAAAGATTCAAAATGTTTCCAAAACAGTTTTTTTTTTTTGGATTTTCTTGCTGCATATATATTTTTTACCATTCAAACAGAAGGGATTTGATATACTTCTTGAACGTTGATCAGTTAATATTTTGAAAGACATGGTAAAGCAAGGAGTTGAGTGTGTGAGATGGAAAGATTCTGAAAAGAAAAACAAATCGAAACAAAGAAAGGGAAGGTGGGGGCTTGTATATGTGTTTTCTTGTGTGTGAGTGTGTGTGTCTGTGTGGTGTTTCCTGTAAGACTCCCAAAATTTCTCTACAGTAATTTGGTTCATTCTCAAAATGAACAA